CCAGGTGCCCACCGTGATTACGGGGCCCGAAGAGTGGGGGAAGGGACACAGAGGTTCTGCGGAAACCTGCGGCTTCGCACCCCGGAGGTGGCCGGGGCGCTAGGATCCAGCCGGGGCAGTGTGACCCCTGCTGTCCTTTGCAAGGAGCAGGAAGCTGGGGGAGTCTGGGGGTGTCTGGGGGCGCAGCTCACTCCTCGAGCACCTTGCCGCCCCAAAGCCCCCTTTTCCAGGCCACGGAGCAGCGCCTGAGATCTCAGTGACCCAGGTCTCCGGCCTGGGCGCTGCTGGGCACGGTCCTTCCAGCGCCCCCGGTCCTCCCTCCTCCAAGTCCGCGCTGGAAAATCACCCGCTGCGGGCTCAGTGTAAGTCCAGCTTCTTGGGGGACTGACCCCCCCCCGCCCAGCTCAGACTTGCGGGCCCCCAAGAGCTCACTTCACTTGGTACCCCTAACTGACGACCTTGTCACCATAACACCCCCACCCCCACCCCATGCCCCGGGCCCCCCTCAGAACCAGGCAGACGAACCCTTCAGACATCCTTGCATGGAGGTTCTGCACAATGTTTACTGGCCAGAGTCTCAAGCATTTGACAGTAACACTAATATCCCGTATAAGGCCGAGAAAAAAAAATGCGCCTTTTTCCTTAAAAACAAAAAAATTAAAATTAAAATACCCAGCATGGTAGATAAAGTAGGTTATCGTATTCTCTTATTTTGAATCCCCCGACTTTCTGCTTCCAAACGCAGTTGACAGTCCCAGTATTGCTCGAGCCCGGGGGCTTGAGGGAAGGGCGTAAGTATCTGCTTCCACGGTTTGCGCCGCCGAATTAGGGCTAGAATTGGGAATGAGGGTGGAGGCGCATTCCTTCGGGGGCCGAGGCTTAAGCCCTCGGGGCGGTGTACCTGTTTCTCCTATACCTGAGCCTCAAGAACTGTTCTCTGGTTTCTGTACACTGGTAAAAAGGCACCCCCCACCCCATCCCCCACCCCACGGGGGAACAAGGGTCCGCATTGAACCAGGTGCGAATGTTCGCTCGCGTTCTCCGCCTTTCCCGCCTCCCCTCCCCCGGCCGCGGCCCCCGCCTCCCCCCGCGCTGCACCCTTGGTGTTGGCTGCAGCCGGCAAGCAGTTCCCGTCAATATCCTCCCCCCCTTTACACAGGATGTCCATATTAGGACATCTGCGTCAGCAGGTTTCCACGGCCGTTCTCTGCGGGCGTGGGGGGAGACATCCCCGAAATCCCTCATCTCGGGGGGTCCACGAGACCCCTAAGACCCAGATTGTTAAACGCCCATTAGATAAAGAAACACAACAAGACGGGGGGCAGAGGGCTGCGAGGGCGGCGAAGGCAGTAAGGAGGTGGCAGAAGTGTCCAGGTCCGCCAGCCACCCCTGCGGCGCCGCGATGGTTGCGCCCATGACGTGTTGGGCTCATTCATAAAATGCTGTTATAAAAGCAGTGGCTGCGGCGCCTCGTACTCCAACCGCATCTGCAGTGAGCAGCCGAGAAGCTGAGACAGAGTCGGCGGCGGCGGCGCAGCGAGCGAGCAGTGACCGCGCTCCTACCCAGCTCTGCCCCACCGCTCCTACCTGTCTCCGCCCCTCAGCCCCTCGCCCCGGCTTTGACTAACTGCGACCATGATGTTCTCTGGCTTCAACGCCGACTACGAGGCGTCATCCTCCCGCTGCAGCAGCGCCTCCCCGGCCGGGGACAGTCTCTCCTACTACCACTCGCCGGCCGACTCCTTCTCCAGTATGGGCTCTCCGGTCAATGCGCAGGTAAGGCTGGCTATGCGCACCGGCCGGGCCCGGCCTCGGGGTTACCGGGGAGGAGACTCGGGGGCGGGACGCTCAGGAAGACGAGTCAGGGACCCCTTTCGCTCGGGAGGGAGTCTGCCCCGGCTGGAGCAGCCCTATCTCGGGAGTGCGGGACTCGTTCGGAGCGCAGGCACGCTTGTCATAGTAGGAATTGGTTCTCCTTTCCCGCGGCAGGCTCCTTCTGAGCTGTTGCCGGCCCGTGCTCTCTGGCTGGTCTCTGACATTAGTTGGGGCAAACGTATCCCGAGCAAAGACTCGCTAACTAGAGCCTGGCTCCTCCGGGGAGGCGGCAGAAAGCGGCAATCCCCCCTCCCATCGCAGCCTGGAGCAGGGAGGAGGGGCGGGGGAGGAGGGTGAAGCAGGCGGGTGTGTAAGGCAGTTTCATTGATAAAAAGCGAGTTCATTCAGGAGACTCCGGAGCGGCGCCTGCGTCAGCGCAGACGTCAGGGATATTTATAACAAACCCCCTTTCAAGCGAGTGATGCTGAAGGGATAACGGGAACGCGGCAGCGGGATGGAGGAGAAAGGCGCTGCGCTGCGGAATTCTTGGGTGGAAAGGGGGAGACCTTTCATCCAGGATGAGGGGCATATAAAAAGACATGAGCAGTCCCTGGCAGGACCGTTTCTCCTCCCTCTCTCTCCCTGCTGCATGCGGCACTGGGAACTCAACTCGCTCCGCTCCACCTGTGTTTGGCACCTGCTTGCTCACATCAGCTTTCCCCTTCTGTTTCGTTCTAGGACTACTGCACGGATTTGGCCGTCTCCAGTGCCAACTTCATCCCAACGGTAACTGCCATCTCGACCAGCCCGGACCTGCAGTGGCTGGTGCAGCCCACCCTGGTCTCCTCGGTAGCCCCATCCCAGACCAGAGCTCCTCACCCCTATGGAGTCCCCACCCCCTCGGCTGGGGCTTACTCCAGGACGGGAGTCGTGAAGACCATGACAGGAGGCAGAGCTCAGAGCATTGGCAGAAGGGGCAAGGTGGAACAGGTGAGGAGTTCTTCTGCACCATCTCTCTGCAGAGGGGTAGGCATTGGTGGAGATGGGGAGCACAGTGGATAGGGTGAAGCTTCGGATGGAACTGACCGCACATCCTGAACAGGGAACACTGGCTTCAAGCCCTTTCCATCCCAAGTCGTATTCTGATAGTCGCACCCTGAGAAATGCCCTAATAGGTTCCTATCTCATGCTTTTATCCTGGGCTCTTCCTTCTCTTCTCTTGCTGAGGATCTTATTTGAAATGCAAGTCACACCCAGCCTGCAACTGCAGGTTAGAAATGGCTTCACAGAAAAAGTGCCAGGAAGCTGGGAAGCTGCAGGAGCCAGTTTCCCTGGGGCGGGTGATTGGAGCTGATGGCAGACACTGTTACTGAATGTTGGTCTTTTTTTTCTTTTAGTTGTCTCCAGAAGAAGAAGAGAAAAGGAGAATCCGAAGGGAAAGGAATAAGATGGCTGCAGCCAAATGCCGGAACCGGAGGAGGGAGCTGACTGACACACTCCAAGCGGTAGGTAGAGCCCAGGAGTCACTCCTTTTTAAAACTTAAGGGGAAAGTTGGAGATGGGGCACAGAGGTGCAGTGTCCTTGAGTAAGACTGTGTCTTATGCTTTGCTTTCTCCCTCTGTCTACAGGAGACAGACCAACTAGAAGATGAGAAGTCTGCTTTGCAGACCGAGATTGCCAACCTTCTGAAGGAGAAGGAAAAACTAGAGTTCATCCTGGCAGCTCACCGGCCTGCCTGCAAGATCCCCGATGACCTGGGCTTCCCAGAAGAGATGTCTGTGGCTTCCCTTGATCTGAGTGGGGGCCTGCCTGAGGCTGCCACCCCTGAATCTGAGGAGGCCTTCACCCTGCCCCTCCTTAACGATCCTGAGCCCAAGCCCTCAGTGGAGCCTGTCAAGAGCATCAGCAGCATGGAGCTGAAGGCTGAGCCCTTTGATGACTTCATGTTCCCAGCATCGTCCCGGCCCAGTGGCTCTGAGACCGCCCGCTCTGTGCCAGACATGGACCTGTCTGGTTCCTTCTATGCAGCAGACTGGGAGCCCCTGCACGGTGGCTCCCTGGGGATGGGGCCCCTGGCCTCAGAGCTGGAGCCCCTGTGCACTCCGGTGGTCACCTGTACTCCCAGCTGCACCACTTACACGTCTTCCTTCGTCTTCACCTACCCCGAGGCTGACTCCTTCCCCAGCTGTGCGGCTGCCCACCGCAAGGGCAGCAGCAGCAATGAGCCCTCCTCTGACTCGCTCAGCTCACCCACGCTGCTGGCCCTGTGAGCAGGCAGGGAGGGGAGGCAGCAGGCACACACAAGCGCCACTGCCCGAGTTGGTGCATTACAGAGAGGAGAAACACGTCTTCCCTCGAGGGTTCCGGTAGACCTAGGGAAGACCTTATCTGTGCGTGAAACACACCAGGCTGTGGGCCTCAAGGACTTGAAAGCATCCACGTGTGGACTCAAGTCCTTACCTCTTCCGGAGATGTAGCAAAACGCATGGAGTGTGTATTGTTCCCAGTGACACATCTGAGAGCTGGTAGTTAGTAGCATGTTGAGCCAGGCCTGGGTCTGTGTCTCTTTTCTCTTTCTCTTTAGTCTTCTCATAGCATTAACTAATCTATTGGGTTCATTATTGGAATTAACCTGGTGCTGGATATTTTCAAATTGTATCTAGTGCAGCTGATTTTAACAATAACTACTGTGTTCCTGGCAATAGTGTGTTCTGATTAGCAATGACCAATATTAAACTAAGAAAAGATATGACTTTATTTTCTAGTAGATAGAAATAAATAGCTATATCCATGTACTGTAGTTTTTCTTCAACATCAATGTCCATTGTAATGTTACTGATCATGCATTGTTGAGGTGGTCTGAATGTTCTGACATTAACAGTTTTCCATGAAAACGTTTTATTGTGTTTTTAATTTATTTATTAAGATGGATTCTCAGATATTTATATTTTTATTTTATTTTTTTCTACCTTGAGGTCTTTTGACATGTGGAAAGTGAATTTGAATGAAAAATTTAAGCATTGTTTGCTTATTGTTCAAAGACATTGTCAATAAAAGCATTTAAGTTGAATGCGATCAACTCATGCTCTTTTCATTCTGGAAGTGTTGCAAGATTCGGAAAGGTATTTGTTGCAGACCAGTTTGTCAAGAAGGGCAGCTCCTAGAGGGAGACACACCCTTTGTTGGATGCCTTATCAAAGAGAAGGAAACTCTAGAGCTGATGCTGGAATATTTTATGAATACGTGTCTTCACGTTGCAATGCTCATGCTGAGATTCATTAGAGATTGTGGGGGCGGGAACCCGCTGTACAATAGCTTTTGCGGGAACACGTCTTCCTGCTTCTTTTTCTGTTTGGAAAGTCAAAGGGGGGAATGTTTAAATCTAGTCGTGCTAATATTAAATTTAAATGTCTTGATCTTAGAGAAATCCTTTTAGCAAACAGAATTAAGCTCTGCACAAACCACATTGTAACTTTTTGTTCCCACAAAGTCAAGTGAAGGTTTCCTCCTACCTTAAAGGTGAGCAAATTGAAGAATGGTTAGAATGAAAGACTCTCTCAATATTTCACTATTAGGATTGGAATCGTAACTTCCTCACTTATTATCACATCCATCAGGCTGACCTGCGTCTTGGTTAAAAGAAAGTGTTTACTTGGTTAGAAAAAAAGCAACTTTTCAGTCCTTAACTCTAACATACATACATTTAGTTGGGTTATTTTCATTCTCAGGAGGAAAGGAGGGTTATTGTCCCATCCCTTAGTGACAAATGCATTGTAATTTCTGAAGTTTCTTTAACATCCTATGCCTGACATTCAGTTTTTACTGGGAGAAGAAAACGCTGGTGCTGAGAAGTGGAAAGGGAGCTCAAACAGTACAAATAATGGTTAATCATTCAGTAAATAAAACATTACATAATAGCTCAATAAGAAGTCAACACAACTCGGAATAAGCTTTAATTTAGAAAGTTTATCATCTTAAAGAAGAACATGACCTTTGTCTGGACACCTCTGATAATGGGGCACTTACACGCACATGTACAAACCGCCAAGAAAGGAGGGGGCGCCCTTGCTGCCCTGCTCTCAGGTCTCCTGCAGGCTCCAGGCTTGCAAGCCAGAGACCAGGTCTGAACACATGCTAGGTGGGCAAGGAGCTTCAGTGCCAGCCTTCTAATGCTTTGGTGATAATGAAAATCACCGAGTGGCTATGGGGTGTCACATTCTGTCCAGCTGAAAGTTTTAATTTAAAATGACAGTTCCGTGGAGGTTGATGTTCTCACCTGTGCTCTCCCTGCTCCTCACTTAGTAATTGACATTTGAAAGCAACTTACTTTAGACTCTTAAGAGCACTGAAAGATCGCACACCATTTGCATATTGTTTTTGTCTGTCTGGGATTAACGAACGTGGCCTTAGATGCCTGTTTGCTGTTCAGAGGGTAAATTTTCTGTAGCCTTTAAATATGACCTCAACTAAATATGGAGTTACTGTAACTAACACCCAGATCTGAAATAACAAGGTGATATACCCTGTTAGGGAACCAGCTGGCTCTCTTACATGTATGGTAATAACAACCCAAGAAAGGAGATTTCCCAGGTGGAGAAGGGAGGCTGGACCTCTAGCCCTGGACACTGGACTGCTCCTGAGGACCTGACTAATGGCCATGGTCAGCCACTTTCTATTTGACAGCCCTGGTCTAGACCTGGACCCAGACCCTTCCTCTGGTTCACCATAGCCCGGCTGAGATCAGCCTGCTGAATCAACAAGACTGCATTAAAGGTCCAGGGAGAGGGACTTGTTCACAGGGTATCTCTTTTTTTTTTTTTTTTTTTTAAAGATTTTATTATTTCCTTTTTCTCCCCAACACCTCCCGGTACATAGTTGTATATTCTTCGTTGTGGATTCTTCTAGTTGTGGCATGTGGGACGCTGCCTCAGCGTGGTTTGATGAGCAGTGCCATGTCCGCGCCCAGGATTCGAACCAACGAAACACTGGGCCGCCTGCAGCGGAGCGCGCGAACTTAACCACTCGGCCACGGGGCCAGCCCCCACAGGGTATCTCTTTAATAGTGTTCTCAGAGGCCTGTTATAGGGTCCCCCATAGGGTTGACATCCCATCAAGCCCCCTGCTGACCATTCTTATGGGATCAAGATAAAAAAGGAATTGCCTATCTTTCCAGCTGAAGGGCTTCTTCCAAATCCTCCTTTCCTGACTCAGGATTCAACAAGCCCCATGGATGACTGACACTGGGAACCTCAACTTCCTTTGGGAAAGACTCTGATCCCCACCCACAAGATATGGCCTTACACTGGTCTCAACAAAATAACTGTCTCAGGGCAGCATGTTCAAGACTGATGCAGAAGATGCACATATAACAGCAGGGGATGGGAATAAGGATGGAAGGGGGTCATTTCCTGATGGGGAGAATGTCTAGTTTAGCTCAGCAGTTGATCCCCACACCTGGCTCAGTGCCTGGTATATAATACAAGGTTAATGAATATTTGCCGGGTGGATGAAGGAATAAATTCTGTACTATTTCAACAAGCAGAAATATATTCCTCAGGTATTCTCAAAATTCTCCTATTCCAGGCCCTGTTAGGATATTGAGCAATAGCGAGTTCATATCTTTTATATCTGGCTTCAAACACATACCCAACTTCCATTTTTGGCTCCTGGAATTCCTCCTCTGCCTCCTCTGGCTTTCTTCTGCCAATTCAACTTCAGAGTGAATGCACTGCCATTGTGCTTCCGGCTAATTAATTTTGGCTGGAAAAGGGGTAGAAGAAAATAAATATTTATCTCCATATGACAGTGGATTGTAGATCCTGCATCATCTTTGCACATTCCTGCATCTTGCATAATTATCAAAATTAAAGGGTAGCATTTAACAATTTGTTCTCATAACAGTAATTTTGCATCAACAACAACTTTCCACGTGTGAATGAAAGTAAATCAATTATGCTATCTTTAATTAATGGACAAAGAAGAGACGGAAGCAAAGTAAAAGTTCTTAAATGATTACTCTAAGGAAATATCTAAAGTTTCAATGTTTTTTAAATTAAAAAAAGTCAAACAAAAAATCAACCTTTAAACTGTGTATGAGACCTCCTTCAAACACAGAATAATCAAATTCCTCAAAAAATAAATGAGATATGAGCATTACTTGAATGTTGACTATCAGAGTCCTTTAAGCCGTGTTGTTTGGCTGTAAATATTAAAGAGTTAATTCTTTTTTGTTGTTTTTGCATTTGCAGAGTAATTATGAAAGAAGACTGCTGAATCTAGCTCACATACTTACATAACAATGAACCCCGCCCTATATCCAATATACATCAAGAGCAGTTGTGACATGTTAAACTTCCGTAGTGCAATAGGGCCGGTCACTCATATGCAGTGGTCTGCTTTGGTTGTAGGTCCAGCAGAGATCAGATAACAAACAAATGGCTGTTCATGCTGGTTAGCTGTGGTCTAGGTATCTTAGAAGGGTTAGCAAAGACCATTCCTTAACTGTACTGTGTGTGGCTGCTTTTCTGATTTTCAAGCACAGCATACTGGCTGTCTAGCTGAAGTGTAAAGGCCTGGTTTTTTGAAACCTCATTCCTACCTCTCGTTTTATGGCTGACTACTACAAAGCTCTCCTCCATTTCTTTATCCTTCTGGCTTTCTATGTGCTTGGCAGTGAACGGCAGGGAGGGGAACTATGCATCACTATATATTTCTAGTGGTCCTTGTGGTGTTTTCCTTGTTGTGGTTAACCTGGCCCCAGGAGGTCTATACACACCGTCACGTCATTGCTGGTTCTGGGGTTTCTGTAACAATTCCTGGAGCAGGAGGTGCTCAGACTGGAGCTATTTAATTCCAGGGACCTGAAGATTTTTCTACACCACCCCACTACCTCCACCTTCTTCCCAGTTTATCACCTGGATCTTCTCTTTTCTCATTGTCGTCTTCTTCCTTTTCACTTATTTGCATTACCTGAACTCTGAGGCCAACGTAATCAACCTCTTTTTGCTCAGATTCTTTCCACTCATGCCTCCTCCCCTACAGGCACTCTGCTCAATGGCTTTCCTTCCATCCCTGACACAGAGCACGAGTGTTGCTGCTGCAGGTACTTACTGTACCTCTGCTGGGGCCCCTTTTCTCAGGCTGGCTCCTTGCTGTCATTAGGACTCAGCGTCAAGGACAGTCCCTCCAAGAAGCCTTCGCAGGCCATTCTATCTAGAGTAACTTCTGCATACACCCTTGCCCCATGACTGTCTCATTATCCTGCCTCATTGTTCACAGCACATCTCACTACCTGCAACACGTAATATAGCTTTTCTTTTCCGTTTTAACAAATTTCTGTGCTTCACCACTGGACCGCAAATTCTACGTGAGCAGGGACCTTTTCTGTCTTGATCACCTCTGTATCCCCAATGCCTACTAGGCATTCAAATGCTTGTTCAGTGAATGAAGATGGACGAGTGAATGAAGGCAGATAAAAATTACAAAAATGTCTAAAGGGAGGTAACTAGAACTTAACAGTGAATACGACTGTTCACTTTATAGAGTTCTTCCTGAGTGGAAGGGCACGCCCCCTTGTTTAAAAAAAATTCTCGTCAAGAGTTCTACAACATTAAGATGAGGAACCAGCTAGCTTGGGAAGGAATTTTAAGGGGTACAAAAAATACAAATATACTGCAGATCAGTCACACTTCTCGACTAATTACATTGAGAAATTTGTTTCAATATCGAATGAAGAATGGATGCATATGTAAATATAGGTATAATCATCTTCAAAGAAACAAACAAAACTATATTTTTCATTCTTATGGCTATAAAATTTTCAGACTACCACACAAATCCATTTGAATTCATGGGTTCCTAGCAATTGGTGTGCTAAATTATAAAACCTACAATTTGGTCTGCATTAGAATAGAAGAATAAAGGTTAGCTGCTATCACTATCGTTATCAATATCAATGTCATTATCATAACCCTTATTTACCAAGCATATGCCCAGACCTGAGGAAAAGCAGACGGGAATAAAGTGTAGTGAACCCTAATGAATGAGTTCAAAGTGCCCGAAGGGTGCTGGCAGGGGAGGTTTCCCCTTTCTTTGCACACAGGAGAAAGCAACAGAAGCATAAACCGGTTTAGTTGCAACAGAATTCATTTCAATGGCTCCACACACCCACTCAAGGACTTAACTAAGCCACCTTTCCTTTGCCCAAGAAGCATTGTTCAGCTGTCTAAGGGGACAAAGAGCAGAAAGGGCTCCGGTCATTGTCCCAAGGAGGCTGTCTGGCCCGGTGGCCATCAGCTCTTCTTAATTAATAAGCCCTTTATACTTTCAGCTCACACTGACATGGCACTTAGATTTGGTTCAATCAGTTGATTTGGATAAGAACCCAGAGGGGTCTGACCGTCGGTTCCATTAGCAGCAGGCCCATAGGAGGGGAGCTCTGTGAAAGGCGGTGGAACCAGGGGCAGCACCATCATCCGAAGGGTAAATGGCACAGCCCCCAGATGCTGCCACGTTTACTTTGGGGAGCGATTCGTGGTCAGATCTACAGAAACAATGACTTGTTTTCAGGCTTTTTAGTCAATCATGAGACTGTCATCATAGCCAAACTTATCAAAACAATATGACGAGTTAATCTGGATTTGAGGAATTGCCTCCAATAGCGGAGAGTAATCAGAGCGTAGACTCAGCTCCGGATCCTGGCTCCTCGACGTTGGGAAAGTTACTTTTCCTCTCTGTACCTTAGTCTCCCCATCTGTAGAATGGGGATAATAATTGTACCCACCTCCTAGGGTTGTGAGCATTAAATAAGTTAGTATGCATAGAGTACTTATTACAGTGCCTGGGCACACAGATGTATTATAGAAGTGTTAGCTGTTATTTATCATCTTTATAATTTAGGGAGAAGGGGGTCAGGGGAGAAAACATATACCCTCTGGAGCAAGCATGGGCTTCATCTCATTCAACAGAAAGTTTCTGGATGTCTACTATGTATCAGGTGCTGGATTCAGATGTGAGGAAGGCACAGTCCTGTCCTCAAAGAGTTCATGGTCTAGTAAGGCACAAAGACACATAAACATATCCATCGTACTACACTGAAATAATGTAAACTGACACAAGGCGCAGGGCGTGCACGAAGGAGGGAGGGATGAACTCCATCTGGGGGAGCCTCTGAGATGGTGACTTCTGAGCTGGGCTTCAAAGATAGATGGAGTTTGCTAGATGAGCAAGTGGCACGTGGAAGAACTCCAGGAGACAGAGGGATAGCACTGTGAAGGCACAGACTCATAAAACAATGCACTTGGTTTTGCTGGACTATAAAACGTGGGGGCAGGAGGAGGAGAGGGTGGGAGATGTAAATTATAGAGCATCACACAAGTACATTTGATTTCATTTACATCAATATTGCAGCATCAAAGCAGAGGGGGCTGGAGACGGGTCAAGAAGAGGTAACTGTGGCCAGATCATGAAGGGCCTGGTATTTACTTAGTTCAGTTGTGTGTAGGCTGAACCAAGGCAGTGGTGGTGGGAATGGAGAGGGAACAAGAGGTAATTAGGGGGTAGGACTGTCGGGACTTGGTGACTGAGTGGATGTGGGAGGTCAGGGAGAGGGAGGAATCCAAGCTCACTCCCAGGTTTGCCAGGCTTGACACACAAGGACGCTTGTGGTCCCACCAATGACTTTGTGATCATAGGAAGAAGAGCGGGTTGGGGGACAAGAAGATAAGTTCTGTGTTGCACATGTCGAGTTTGCGACACCTGTGGAATACCCAGGGGGGCAATGTAAGCAGCTGGAATTACATGATAGAGGTTCTATGATGTGAATTTATTGAGTTTGTCTGGAGGCATGTGGTTGGGATAGAAGCTGGAGCCTTAGGACACAATATTGATAAGGCTAACATTTCGCACACACTTGCTCTGGGTCAGGCTGTGCTACGTGCTTTACAGGGAATGCTAAATTGGCGACCATATTTGCTTTGCTAATCACTTTACCTCTAGTAACTGGCACATAATGGGCATACGATAATTCTTTTGTTGAATGGATGCTCTCATTTAGTCCTCACAACAATCCTATGAAGCAGATATTATTAGGATCTTCATTTTACAGATAGGACAATGATCTAGAAAAGGTTAAATAGGTTAACCAAGGTCACACAACTGGTAATTAGCAGATCTGAGAGTTGAAATCAGCTCTTTGTGATTCTAAAGGCCAAAGTGCTTAACTGCTTGGCTAGAATGTTAAAATCTGCCCCTAAATATGTACTTATGTGACCTAGGGTGAGACTTTAACCTCTCTGAGACTGTTTCCTCTACCACATCAGGAGTGGGCTTCAAAAATCTCAAAGCTCCCTATCCAGCTTCAAAACTCTGACATCAGATGGCTTCTGTGGAGACGCACTGAAAGGGCCCACACCGCATCCTTTGGGGGAAGGCCTAAGCTGTGCAGGCACTGTGCGGCAGCCCACCAAGCGCCATGAGGTGGGAGCAGTCTGGCCCAGGTGCAGGCAAAGAGGACAGATTAAAGTTCTATTTCTGTATAACAAATTACCACACACTCCGCAGCTTGAAACAACGCACATTTATCATCTCACAGTCTCTGTGGGTCAGGAGTCTGGGCACAGCTCAGCTCGGTCCTCTATGCAAGGTCTCACAAGGCTGCAATCAAGGTGTCAGCTGAGCTGCTTTCTCAGCTGGATGCTTGAAGCGGTCGGTCTACCTCTGAGCTCCTTCCTGTTGTCGGCAGACTTTACTTCCTTATGATTGTTAACTAAGGCCCTGCTTTTTGCTGACTGTTGGCTGGAAGCTGCCCTCAGGTCCTAGAGGCTGCTCATAGTTCCTTGCCATGTGAGCTTCCTCAACACGGCTGCTCACTTCATCAAGCCCGCCAAGAGAACCTACTAGTGTGTGCTAGCAACATGGAGTCTTTTATATATATCTCTCTATGTATCGTGACACAATCATAGCAGTGACATCCCGTCACCTTTGCCATATTCTATGGCTTAGAAGCAAGTCTCGGCTTCCACCTGCTCTCAAGGGGAGGGAATTATACAAAGGCATAGACATCAGGAGGCAGGAATTATTGGGGGTCACCCTAGGGTCTGTCATCCACAAGGGGTCACATTAACTGCTGAGAATTTAAAAGTAATAATAAAACCAGCTAAAGTTGATCTAGTTTTTATTAACACCATGAGCTGGAAATTCTAGACATTGTCAGTGACAAAATACTCCTTCCTGAAAAAATCTTTGGTTGTTTTAAGTTCTCAACAGTTGCTGGGGTTACTGTTGAGTTTTCACAATGTATATGTAAGCTCCATTTAAAAAATGACTTATCTTTTAAGGCATTGTATTCTACATGGAAGTAAACGCCCAGTTCTACTAACAGTTGGTCTCCAAACCATGGACTTAACTATGTCCTTTCATTTTAAGGGTGAGTTTGTAATGGTTCAGAATCATTTGAGATCTTTTAGGGGGCTGTGTGTGTCTCCAACCCTATGGTAGGGAGTACACAATACTGTGTTTGAACAGCAGATTTGAAACAAACGAAGACAACACAGTGACTGTAAAGACAAAGATACTGACCTTGAGTCACTTCAGTTCTGTTATTCTATACGACCATTTAGAGTTTTTATGTTTAATATCTACAACAGTGAAGCAGTGCAAACTGAGACATGTAATGTTTTTATTTGGTAAGTGCACATTTCAGTGAATACAGGAAACATTTAATTAAATTTTAATGTTAACTTTAAATGGAAAATTCTTTTAAAATTATTTATTTTAAAACTAAAAAATGAATCAAAAAACAAAACATTACATCAGTCACATGATTTAGTAGTTGCCTAATATTAGGTAAGCCACTGCTGTGCTTAGGAATAAAAATAAATAGCTAGCACTAATTTGGGCTCACAATGTGCTAGACACTGTTCCAAAAACACTCACATAGACACACGCCTATAGTAATTCACTAAAACAACCTCGCAGGTAAGTCCTGCTATCAACCTTATTTCATAGATAATATGGGGGCACGGAAGGACTGTGATCGCCTTGAGACCATCCATGTAGAGTGGGGGAGCTGGAATTTGAGTCCAGGGTAGTGTGGCTCCAATGCCTGAATTCTTAGCCACTAATAAGCAAAAAGGAAGCAAAACCAATATCCCCAACACCCCTGCAGCCCGAAGGAAGCCCTTCAAAAAGGAGAGGAAGGTTTCTTTCCATCCAGGAGGGTTTCTTTCTGTTCCTGACCTGCCCCTGCTGGATCCCGGGCTGAGGGAGAGCTGGCTTCCCAGGGACCTCCCAGAAAGGGTGCTCCCTCGCCGTCGCCTCCTCTGCCCTCTCGGCACCCTCGCCGCGCCCCTGCCCCCGTCTGCCAGGCCCAGGTTTTTTCTCCTGGCCCTTCCCAGCTTCCGGCCCTTTGCTCCAGGCCAGGTCGCTGGGTCAGGCTGTGCCAGGAGCTCGCGAGTTTGCTATTTACTGTTTGGTTTCCATGGTGACACGTCGGCGCCGTCAGCGCCTCCCGTCATCGGCCCAGCAGCGCGGCCCCCACCCGGCGCCGTGACGTCTGCCCGCCGCTTCCGCTCTGCCCATATTCGGCGCCGCCGCCGCGCCGCCCGTCGGGAGGAGGCTGGGAGCCCGGCGCGCGCCCCGCCCCGCCCCCTGCCCCGGCCACGCCCCCGTGGAATGCCGCGGGCGGCCGGTTCCGCGCGACCCCCGCCCCTTCCCGGACTCCCCAGCCGAGGCGAGGGGCGGGGGCGCTGGGGACCCCGAGAGAGGGCGTGGGGGATTGACGGAGGAGCGCTGAGATCTCCAGCATTCCCGGACTCGGACTGCTTGCTGAGGCTGCAGTCGAGATTTGGGGCTGTCTCGTCTTTCCGGGTGGGTGAGCTGGGATCACGATTTTCCCACTCTGTGCCCGGAAATCATGAAAACAGCCATCCCTCATCGAACTCTATTTTATATTTTATAGGCTTGAACATAAAATTCTCGCCCATGGCGCAGTGGAAAGCTTTGAAGTCCGAGGTTGTGGGATCAGAGTTGCCCCCTCGGGGGATAAGTGACCTTGGAAAGGTCACTTCCCTTTACCCAGCCTGGTAAAATGAACTGGGGATGGAGAGGTGGGGGGAGGCGTAATGGTTGCAGCAGTGTCATCAGGTTTGTGAGGGGAGACCGTCCCTCACCTTCTAACTACCCCCCTACCCCATGACATAGTTGGAATGTTAGTGAAGTTCTTTGAGGACCCCTACAATTCTGACCCCCAGTAACTGGATTTGTGTCTCTTTGCGCCTTGCTCATATTAGGCGTTTAATTAACTTTAGGTAACTGATTATTGAATGAATCCCAGGCAAATTACCTTCGGAGTTCACCTTCATAAATCCGGACCCCCGCAATTCCTTTTATAGGCGGAAGGAGGAATATTGCGATGATTAATAATCGCGCAGCAGGGTTGCTGATGTAAAGCGATTTGCAGATGTAAAGGGCAATAAGCATTCCTAGGAGGAATCCAGCGAGATTCCAGAAGTCTCCGAGGGAGCCGTGGGTGTGTGCCGCCGGATCAGGAGGGCGGGGGCGGGGCGGGCAGTGCCGCAGTGGCCTCAGCTGGGGAGCCGACTGCGGGCGGAGGGTTAACTCTTCAAGCTGCTGGCTCGCGGGCTCACTGCCCCCATCCCCCTGCCCGTTACCCCGTTCTTCTGGCCAGAGGAGTGTCTGTTTTTCAAAATTTCAGAGCTGGAACGCACATCATACTATTCTCTAATTCAGCCTTTCCGTTTCACAAATGGAGAAACTAAGGCCCAGAGAAGTTGGTTCACCCCTCCAAACTTGCATAGCTAGTTAGAGACAGGTGAAAGCCAGGTTTCCGGGCTTCATATTAGTGTCCCTTGCACCTCACCTCTAACTCCCTGTGCTCTTGTGGCTGCGGGACCCTGTTGCCTGGCTCAGATGGTGGGGTGTACAATGAAGCTAAATACTGACTTCAGGGCTCCTAAAGGATGCGAGTGGCACGTCTACAGCCATACACAGCCCCACAGCATGACACTAGGGCCTGGGGTGATGGCCAGGAGGGGTGTCCTCCCCAAACAACCAGCATTCCTCCTGTATTGAAGGACTGTAGTGGCTGGAATGGCTACCCTTGTCCAGAGAACCTGAGTTGGCTGTCCTGAAACCAGTCTTAGACGATCAGTTGGTCCTTTTTCAATTACCCAAGCCTTGCATTAACCTTTTCTCAGCCAAGTCGACAGCAGAAGGCATGAGTAACCTGAAGCCATGGAAACCCCATTGGAACGTCTTTTCATGGTACATAGAGGTTAGATCCTGTGGGAGAATGCGCTTTAATGTCGCGCTCGCTTCCCTTTCAGTCTCACCCAACTTCCTCTTACATGCTCTCCTCTATTTCTTCCCTAACTTCTAGGCTGAATATGAAGGCAGCTCAGACCGAGAAGACTGGTGCCCACCGCTCGCCTCCGGGCATCCCTCCTGGCGGAGTTGGGAAGTCTGGGATCCTTCGCCTCTCTCTCTGATCGTGCGGAGCCATAGCTGCAGAAGCAGCAGCTCTGCCCCCTGCTGGACACGTGAGGCAGCCCGCACTTTTCCTGTTCCAGATGCAGCGCCCTTGTGGTGCTGGGGGGAAGAGATTTTTTGGCTCACTCTGATGGAAACAGCAAAACTGGGCGGAATAAAAATCCCAGGTTTTTTTTCTCTCTAGTTTATTTCTGAGGATCTGATCTATTTGGATGCAGAAAACATTTCTGTTGTTTCTCTTGCCTGGACGGCTTTTTTCCTTCCTGCTAGCCAAACCCGGCCCCTTTCAAGCCCTGTTTCAGAGTCCACCTCCTCCAAAACGCCCTTTCTGACTCTCCTCTCCTATGTGAATGTTTTGAAATACAGCTATGCACAGACCCGGCCCACGGAGTGCACACTCACATACTGGCTTTACTGTTGTGTCCTTGAGGGTGGGGGCCAGGTTTGTGTGGCCTTTGTGTTCACAGACCCCGCCCGTAAGGTCCAGCACAGAGCTGGGGATGAAACCTGCTGGCAAGCCCTTGTTGATTAATGGATTAATTAATCAATTAGTTTCTACGGAAGCAACTCCAAGCCTTTGCTTTGATAAATCTTCCTCTTAGCTCTTTGGGGGAATCTAGATAGTGATGTAATTCAATATAGCCTTGCACAATAAGTAGTTTCACAAAGCAGTTTCACAAGAGAACACCACCACCACCCAGAGAGGGATGAGGAAGTTTGGAGTGGTCTGTTAGAAAGATGAGGAGGAGGGTGGCGATGTGGGAAGGATGAAGAATTAGGAGAGGGGATCTCTGCTCCAGGGTTCAGCGACGCAGCACAGCCTCTAAAGCCAGGTTTATATCCAGACTCCACCACTTGCTGTGTGGCCTTGTACAAGTTTACTCTTCTCTCTGTGCCTCGCTTTTCTCCTCTGTAAAAATAAGTGCCCATCCTATCGCGATATGATGAGGATAAATTGACTTGATATTTGCAAAGTGCTAGGACAGTGTCTGGCACATAGTAAGTGCTATATAACAGTTTGTAAATGAGTTTTCCAGCTTAGCTGTCTTGTAAATGGAATGGGGGAAGATTATATGATCTCTCAGTTCTCTCCCGTGCTGACCTTCCGGGGCAGTGCATGAGCTTTGCGGTCAGACAGGTCTGGGTTGACTCCTGTCTCTTTTAGCACCTGCATGACCTGGGGCAGATGGCTCTCCTTGGAGCCTCAGTTTTCTCTTCTGTGAAGTGGGGATAATTGTGTCTACCTCAAAAGACTTGTGTGCATTCCGTGCTTGTAAAATGCCTGGCATGTAAGAAGCTCAATAAACAGAAGCTCTGATTATTATTATCTATGAGAAGAGAGCTGTAGATAAAGGAGAATAGAGTCTCTAAAATCTTTGAGGTTTCAAGAAAGATTGAACGTATTGAATAGCAATGAGCTCAGCTCAATTCACGGAGTTTGGGGGTGGGACGGTGGGCCCTGATCTGGGCCCTGACCAGATAGCACAACATCAGAAGAAACCAGGAATGGTGTGACTCACACATCAGCTCTAGGAACATTTTCTGCCCGAGGGCTGCGGGGAGGGTGGGGACCCAGTGGGGCCAGGTGCCAGCAGCTGTGGGCCTTCCCTCCTCTCCTTCCCAGGAGGGGGGACTTTAGGAGGACAGGGCGTGGGGAGGGTGGGCCCTGGAAACCCGTTGTTGTTGAGTGTGTACGTGTGGGAATGGCCCAGAGACATCTTGCCCCAGGAGCTGGACTCCCAGGCCCAGTGTAGCCTCCCTCATGGCAGAACCTGTCTGCACAGCGCCTCAAAGCTGCCATTCCCATCCCTGACCAAGGACGCTCCAGGCTGATTGCCAACAATTGTCCAAGGGGTTGGGGAAAGGAGGGTTACGACAGTCTTAAAGCCAAATTAAGCTTAATTCCCTTCAGCTGCATGTGTGGAAAAGTACTAAAGAGAGTATGCAAATACTGTATGTTCCTTTGAGTTCTCTTTCAAGGGGGAAGGAGGATTGCAAAATCCAACAATGGCAGGTGTTGCAATCCCAAACACGGTGGGAATCACTCCAACCGTCCTTGCACTTGATGGCTCTTGTCTTCCGTGACCCATGGGGACTCGTGTGCTCTCCATCAGGCCAGGGTCTACACCAAGTAAGTTGTTATTCCAGGATCCCAGATGCAGTCCGAGATCCGGACAAATCCAGTTTAGGAGCATTTGGGGATCACAGAGGACCTGTGAGCCTCATTCCAAAGTTGTGTTTCCAGAAATGGAAATATGGAAAAAAATGTGGCTTCTGAACAGTCACGAAGGTGCTAATATCCGTTGTCTCTGGGGAGACTAGAAGGTGTTTTTATCTTCATTTTACTTGTTGGTACTTTCTGATTTTTTGTTTTTGGCAAGCACATACTGCTTTTGTAATAAGAAAAAAATGTTGTTTTTTTTTTTAATTCTTCTCCCCAAGTTCCCCAGTACATAGTTGTATATTTCTAGTTGTACATCCTTCTCGTTGTGGCATGTGGGATGCCACCTCAGCATGGCCTGATGAGCGGTGCCATCCGAACCAGCGAAACCCTGGGCTGCCACAGCGGAGCGTGTGAACTTAACCACTCGGCCACGGGGCCGGCCCCAGGAAAAATGTTTTTAAATGTTCCCAGCAGAGCAGTATGTTTGTTTTTTTAATAGATAACAGAACATAATAAATGGGAAGGCTCAACACCTCCTGATTTTCTTTTTTTTCTTTCTTTCCCTCCTCTTTGCAAAAGAAATAGATGCTCATGGTGAAACCTTTGAAAAATCAGATAACCAAAATAAAAACAAATAACAATCACCTTCAATTCCATCACAGAGATAACCACTGTTAACATTTTTCATTCTCCCTCTCCAATACGCACTTTAGTTTTATACTCTTGAGTTTATATGCAGCAGTTTTTATGAAAATAGGACCGTGTCATAATAGCGTTTTGCAACTTCTTCTTCTGCACCATACATCACGAACATAAAACATTTTTCTACACGATCACTTTAACAGCTAGTCACATAGGATTCTTGTTATAAACACCCAACAATTGAACCAATCCTGTGTTGTTGGATCTTTGGGTTATTTCTAATTTTGTTGCTATTATAGACAAGGCTGCAGATATCTTTGCAGCTAAATTTTTGTGTGCATCCAAGATTCTTTCTTTCGAGGCAGGCCAAGGGCATGCTCCTTTTTAAGTCTTTTGAAATGTAGCTGTGCCGTCGGTACAGCGTCAGAGTACAGTGCGCAGCGCCTGTTGCAAACAGGAAGGTACTATTGGCTCAACTAGTTTCTAGCCGTGTCATCTTGAGGAAATTACCCTCTCTACCCTTCAATTTCCTCAACCGTAAAGCTGGCGTGACGGTAGCTACCCAATAAGATTGTGAGGACTGGATGCAAAAGATGTGTAAAGTGATGCCTGGCACAGCATGTGATGAGCCTCGACAAATGGTGGTTGTTTCTCGCTTAGGGATCGCCTTCTCTTCAGGAGGAGAAGTTGTCTTGAAATTAAGTCTGGTTGTCTGGGAAAGTTGCGGGGAGAACTTGAGCAGGTTTCCGCGGTGAATGGGAAGACGCTGGAGAGTGGAAGGCAGACACGGACAAGAAGTGGACAAGGGGCTGATGCTGGGGAGGGCGAGGAGAGGTTAGCAGGGAGGGTGGGCTGTGGGGGAGAACGAGAACTCAGTGGACAGGGGTGAGATGTCCACGTGGACCGTTTGGAGCAGGGACCCCTGGAAACAGAGCCACTTGCCAGTCACTTTGGAGCCTGGGAGGCCACGTCTGTAAAATCTGAGGTGGGGCCTGTGTCCTCTGGTCCCTGGGCCCCTCGAGGCTGATTTCTGCCATTCAGCCTCCTGTTGCATCACTCCATGCCTGTCTTCTTTCAGTTCCTTGAGTGCGCCACGTTCCTTCTTGTTGTGTGACCTTTGTACATTCTCTTCTCTCTGCCAGGAACTCCTACTCCTTTCTTGGTTAACTCCTATGCACCCTTCAGATGTCAAGAGATCTTCAGGCTGACTTCCTCAGAGAAGCCGTCCCTGACGGTTTGGGATAAACCAGCCCCCCTTACTCCTGTTAGTCTCATGGCCCTCTTTTCCCCGCATAGCAATATCCAGGTTTGTAGCTATGTGTTTGTGGTTATGCTCCCTTGGTGTCCCCACGAGGCTGAACGCTCCACGACGGCAGGAACAGGATCTGTTTTCGTCCACTGTTGTATCCCCGATGCCCAGCACATAGTAGACACTCAATAAGCACTTATTGAACGGAAGAAGAATGAGGCAGTCGATTTGTGATCTGCAAAATGCTTTTACATCCCCTCCTGTGGCTTCAATTCCATCTTGGTTGATGCTGGCTGATTGGTTGAAGGAACAGGAGATGGGGCTGGCCCGGTGGTACAGCAGTTCAGTTCGCACGTTCTGCTTCTCGGCGGCCCAGGGTTTACCGGTTCAGATCCTGGGTGCGGACATGGCACCTCTTGGCAAAAGCCACGCTGTGGTAGGCATGGGCATGGATGTTAGCTCAGGGCTAGTCTTCCTCAGCAAAAAGAGGAGGATTGGTAGTAGTTAGCTCAGGGCTAATCTTCCTCAAAAAAAAAAAAAAAAAAAAAGAGAGAGAGGAACAGGAGATTTGGGAGCTGTGAGGAATGCCTTGGCCAGCTCTTCTCCCACCTCCTTTCCCTTGTGGACGCAGGCTTCCCTTTCTAAGACTAGAAATTTTAACCAGTGCCTCTCAAACTTTATTGTGTATATAAATTAACTGGGGATCTTCTTAACGTGAGAATTCTGATTCAAGAGGTCTAGGGTAGGGTGCAAGATTCTGCATCTCTAACAAGCTCCCAGGTGATGCCCATGTTGTTGGTCCCGGGACCACCCTCTGAGCAGCAAGGCTTCCAGACTGCAACCTCCTGTTCTACACTCACTGTGATTCCCACGCTTAGGGTTGAGTCGCTGCGCCCTCTGTTGACCACTGCAGGGCATGACAATCTTTGACCAGGTTGACGAAGGCAGCATGCATGAATTTTAAAATTCACACAAAATTCTTGGGGGACAAGATCTCCTTCTAAAAGCAGATAGGCACACAGATTCTGATAGTGTTAGGAAACTTATTCTTAAGAATACACTCTGTAAAGGATTCTTCCCGAAACTGAAGGATGCTAGGGTTGGGAGGAACTCACACTCATCTAGTCA